GGCTCATGCGTGCAGTGGACTCCCAACACGGCGAACTGATACCCCTTAGAGCACGGCAGCTCCAAACAAGCAAGGAGGCGCTGCCTACGCCACAAGCTATGCAATTCAAGTCCACACCGCACACACTCTGCCTGCCGGCTGCCTCCTCGTGTGTTGAGTCGGAAACTATGTTCAGGATGCGTAGTGGACGCATGCTCAATCAGCTGCACCGAATCCCTACACCCTAACCCCTAAAATCCAGGATCCGACGGCTGGAAGTGAGGTGCGGGCCGTCTCGAAGAGGCCACGACGGAGCAGCTCTTGACGAATGGCCCGGAAATCCTGCAAGTCCAGTATAGTATAGCATAGTTTTGTGTAGCTTAGTTTTGTGGCGCATAGAAGAGTACAGGCTGTTATAGCATAAGTATAGTATAGTATAGTATAGTGTAGTGTAGTGTAGTGTAGTGTAGTATACTATAGTGTGGTCCAGTGTGGCATATAGTTGCTCAGGGGAACGAGGGCCAGTCCAGGTCCGGGGTGTTGGGACGTAGTGGCTGGATTCCCTCGAGGGCTTTTGCAGAGTACTGTCGAATATGTTCTGTACACTTCACATGACCGGATACATGACCATGTAGGTGTAAACTACGACAATATTGAAAACCGCAGCACTGGCACCAACACACCGAAGCAGCAACTCAACAACATGCAGCAGCGCACCATAGAGCCGAAGCTCTCAACAGTCGCCTCCGCACAATACTGCAACAACACCTCCATAAGCAGTGGAGCAAAAGCAGGCGGTGTAGCTTGGAAAATCTTGATGTTTGCAGCCCGATCTTGAGCAGTACTCATGCTCAATTTACGAACGAACCGTCAACCCGAATCACAGCAAGAAACAGAAGGGTTGGATGCGACGATCCGTGTAGCCAAACATGCACTGTGCCATGCATGCACCATAGCCCTCAAACCCCAGCCCCCTGGCCCCCTCCGCTGCCAAAAGTATTCTGAGAAACGGTGACATGATTCACCTTAGCGCCAGGCTTACAAGACAAAACCAAAACCCGGGAAAGGTCCTGGACGTGCGGAGGCACCTCCACGTCTGTAGCCTTCGGTTCCAGTCATTAAAGACGACTGCTGCTATGAGTCGGGCTTAGCATAAACCTTTTCCATGGACCAGGGGCACACCGAACACAAAGACAGGCTCTAGCCAAGGAGAACTGATGCCAAAGTTCCTGCCTCGCCAATCAGCATGGGTGGCCTCGGAACGAAGGCTCGGGGTGCCCACTCTAAGGCCTGTGAGAAGGCTTGCTTTAAGAACTACCGTGGGGTGGGGTCCAGGGTCACAGAAGTGAGCACTGACAGAGGACAGTTCCGATCATGGGAGACCCAGAGATCCTGAATGCGCCTGAAAGGCCATGGAGCTTCAACTTCTAGGCCTAGGCCCCGGCAGCATGTGCTTGTACACCCTCGCCGTGTGGTAGTTTGCAAAGGCATCTGTGCCTTGGCAGAGGGCACAGAAAGCAAGAGCACCACCACAATGCTCTGAGTACCTGCAGCCATACCGACCATGCCACGGAAGGCAGCAATGACATGAGCAAGCCGAGTAATCACGAAAACGAGCAACGACGACGGCCTTTGCAAGATCCACCTGCCATGTTCTTCTGTCCTGGGTCGAAGGTAGAGGACCCCATATGCTCTCTCAGAACCCTAAACCCTAAACCCTAAACCAAACTCTTTAAGCCTACCAAAAACCCCAAATTCCTGTCAATCCTCAGGTCATCCTCCGGGGTCCCAAGCAGTCTTTCCCCGCCATGTTCTCGATCATCAGGTGCCCACCAGGATGCTTGTCGACGTACCTCTGACCACAAGGAGTTTGCGAGGCTTTATGGGATCCTCGGAAGTTGGGCGGCTTTTTGGTGGGTTTTCTCGGTGCCGAATTGAGGATACCGGGAATTTAAGGGTGCTTTTACGGTAGAAGGTAACTCACAAGTCCTTGCGGCTTCAGGGTGCGCAGTCTTTCTGCAGGATTTCGTGGTCATGGTGCTGATCTGCTGCCGGACCTGGTGAGGTCGTAAACACGGCCGTCGATGATGACCCAGATGCTCTCTCGTGAGTTGTGCTTCGCCACCTGGCCAGCTTCAGATAGAGCCATTGCCGAGGAGAATTGAGTTCAGGAGCACAGCACACACGATCCAACAAGTCCTTCAGTCTTGGCAGCATCAGCAGGCAAAGCTTGAACGGCAATGGCAGAGAATCTTGTTTTCCAGGAGAACCCTGAGTGCCTCAGCCACGGTGTACTTTTTCAGTTCCTGGCAATGCTACGCAATGCTCGACTTCATAATCATAAGCAGAGCGTGGGTCAAGCAGGGTCTGAGATTTTTCTTTTCAGAAGCAAGTTATGCCAGTGTAGAAACCCATTAGTGACCCCTGAAGCTGCCAAGACCGCGAAGGAGTCCAACATGTGCCGCAATCTGGCGACAGCACCACAGCCTCACCCCCAAAAATCGGTGGCACGGCTTTTGGAGGTACGTGCACGTGTCGCAGCCAAAACATGCACAAAGCTGTGGCAGGAGCATGATTTGGGGAGGCGGACACTCACGGGACTGGTAGGGAGACTATGCTGCCCATAATACACACTGCACTGTGGCCACACGAAGAGGAGTGCTGCCATGCTAGAACTTCAGAGACTTCGAGCGATTTGAAGGCAAAAACGAGAACACCAGTCACAGCCAGCATCCCACGTGACGGAAGCGTGATTTGTCAATTTGAACACTGCCAAAGCATTGGACTTCACGATGAGACGCGCGTCTTTGGAGAAAGTGGCATGCACGGAACTACGGAAAGAACACCGTTTTAGATAGCATTCCTGACAACAAAAAATGTACCACAATGCTTGGGAAACAACGAAACCCCGAATCTTCTAGCCCAGAGGACTAGCGCCATGAAATGGAGCTGAAAGACCATGTGACTGCAAGCTCCTTGATCGGGGGTCTTTGTAGATTTCCGAGTTTAGGGCTTAGTTTTTTTTTTTTTNNCGTCTGCCAGGTACTGACTCGGGAATAGTTTAGGGTTTAGGGTCCAGGGCACCTTGAAGCCTTCAGACACGGCCTGCTTGCGGTCTGCGTGTGGCTCCGGGATTAGCGGCACCAGCTTGGTCAAGCCGTCCTCCTGCGTAAACTGCGGAAGAGGTCTAGAACAGAAAGGGGTGTGAAGATTAACGTTAACTTTTAGACTTCCCAACTGTCGCAACCCTCAAAAAATCCAATTTCCGCACGAGCTTCAAGTCGAGTGCCAGTCACTCGGAGAACACATATCAGCCGCGGCTATCGGCGAAAGCGAACCGGCACAGTCCCTATGACCTACGCCTTAGATGCGGCACCTCTCGGAAGGTCAGGGTCTTATCCTCATTCTTCTCCAGCTCTTTGGAGCCTCTGCCACCCGTTGCATGCGAGGCATCTGAACAACCTGAGGCTCCCTTGGATCGCGGGCCTTTGCCAGCGCGGTCCAGCACACACAGCTGCACCTGACGAGCAAGCTCGAGTTAGATCGATTGCGCCCAAAGATGATGCTCTGCCACTCTGCTGTTGGACCAAGCCACTGCCAAAGCAGCAGCTGCAGCTGTGGTTCCTGCATTGCACAGCTGAAACTCTGTGCATGCCGAGCCGTAACCTTCGAATGAGGAAGAAAGAAAATCTGTTCTACTGCCATGTCTCTTCCACACGGCGCGGTCCTACTCGGAGGGTTCGCGCAAGGACGGGCTCGTCAAGCACGTCGACTAGGGGCCTCTGCGCCAGCTTCGAAGCCCAGCATTCCAGGCACTACAACGCAGAGACTACGACTATGACTCTATAACTGCAACTATCACGAAAGCTTCAGTAAGATCCCTGCGAGGCACCTGAGGCATGAGAGGGCACAGCAGACTTTTGCGTTTCACATCGCCAGATAAGCCACGCACTGTACCCAGCAGCTGTGCCAAGGCACCCCGCCTCGAAAGGCCAGACTTTTCGCATGCGCCCGTGCATCTCTTGTTGCGCTTCACGACATGCTATAACCAGGTACGATTATGATGCTTCAGCGTAACCATACATAGCAATACAGCGCCTTCTATCACAGAAACAACATCGACGGCAATAATCGCAATAGCACGAAGCAGCACAGATGCACGCGGAGCCAACCGCGACATATAAACGTGCAAAGTACTTCGTGGTCACTGACAGCGCTGCATAGCGGATATATTCTTGTGCACAGTCCCTTCTCTGACAGCGCCTCGAATGGAACACTCAGAGGCCGGTGGTCCAAGGCTCGCACGAAAATGGAGCCCAACATTGTCCACTGTGTACACAGGAGTCACCTCAGCTGATGTTTGCACTCCGCTCCAAGGTTCCAAGGTCTGAAGCCGCACGATCCAATAATGCTTGGTCGGTGCGAAGTGATGTGATCATGAGCATGATTGTGTGCAAGCAGAGGCATAAGAAGATGACGACCATGGCTATGTGCAAGCAGAGGCTTTCTTGTCTCTTCCTCTTGGAACAGATGCGGAAAGCTTATGCAGTACAGCATGCAGTACAGCATGCAGGACAGGCGACTCTGCAACAGATGTCACAGAAAGCTTCTACGTGATGAAGACGTTCTGAATTTTAGGGATACTTCGGTAGTGTAGGGGATTTGAAAGTCCATCGGGCCAGTCAGGGATTATTGGTTCTGTGTTTTGGGGTCTACACTAATTGGAATAACAATGTATTTTGTGTGGGATTTGCCTCTATGTTGAAGACGTTCTGGATTGTAGAAATATTTTTTAACATTTCTGCATAGTTCGATTTGTTTTTTCAAGTGAACATATTCAGAGTTTCAGGACGTACAGTGTATTCTGAGACATTCCCGATTTTGGATATATTTTAGTGTTATAAACGAGACTAGTCGGGGATTATTGATTTTACGTTGTCTGGTATACGATAGTTACAATTTTAAGATGCTTACTGCATTTTGTATGGGATTTGCCTACACTGTTTAGACGTTCCGCATTTTCGACATACTATTAATACTACGTAGTTTGCTTGTTTAGTTCAGGGTTCTTGGGTTTATCCAAAACCTGCTGCAGTCCGGCCTGAGCTGAGGTCATGCTGCCCCTAATCATATGGACGCCGATGCAAAATGTGTGGTTCCCGAGCTCACTGCTAGGAATCTTGCTTCAAACCGTACTCATCGTGTTCCTGCTATGGATGGACTGTACATGCCTGGTCTAAGAGGACGAAGTAGACAAGCCTACGCTCTTGGTCTGCGGGATGAACCAGCCTGGTTCCTCTCATACCCTACACCCGAGTCGGAGGGGCCACGAGATGCAAATAGCAGACAAGGCGGCTGGTCGTGCGAGTACTGTGCGACAAGAATCGAAGTAGTGGTGATGACAATCATGCTGCTAAGGAAATAGTGGTTGCAGTCTTTTCGGAGACAGGTAAGCTCCTGGCTTCCGCAGTGACATCTGCGAGTGGCTACGGGACTTGGGCCAAGCTGCTCGTCGCATGCACTTGCTTTGGGGCTTGGGTTTTTCTTGGAGGGCGCTTTTTCCACAACATCTCCGCTGTAAAGAGCCTCAATGAGGCAGGCTTTCACTGGGTACTTCGCAGGGCTTCGGGGCCTGGATTTACAAGGCGGCACATTCCCTTATGTCTTGACGACAGCGAGGCCTGTTGCTCTTTCAATCTCTGCCCCTGCCCAACATGCACATAGCGAGCCTTCTGCATTTCTGCAATCTCATGGCACGTCGGCAAGCGAAGACCAATGCTGTCTTCGGTGCCAAAAAAGTTCAGCAACACTCCTTTTTAAGAATCGCCCCAGAAGTCTCCCCTGCCGGCAGAATGGCTCGTTGGCTCAGACTGCTGCCAATCCTCCGCTCAACAGTCAGTCAAGTTGTGCGTTCTGGCTGGTTCTGCCTACGCTGCTCAGTCTTCACTGCTGCTGTCGGATGACTCTTACAGGGTTCTGCAAGCACCATGCTACTTGTACTACTGACGAGCGCGAAGCCGCGTGCGGTAACGACGACGACGACGACGACGACTACTACTACCAATACGACTGATGCTGCCGTGAATAGCATCACTCACCTCCAGTTGGATGAGAGTTATCATCTTTCTCGATGGCATTTCCAGTATGGTCAGTTGCTGATTTGCATGTGTAGCATCATGGCCACTAGCACTTTCATGTTGAAATTTTGCATCCTCATCAACGTCAGCTTTTTCGTTCTGGCTCTTGCCACCGATTCTCATGCCGGCTGCATGTTCAATTCTCATTTGTACTAAGCGGCTGCTGTCACTTTGCATGGTATTAGCTCTACTGGACTGAGCCAGGTCCTTCCGAGGCCACCAGTCGCGCCGCCTGTCCATCCTGTGATTGTCCCAGTTGTCCCATCGCTGGTTGCCATTTCGACCCCAGCCGCCGGTGTCTCGATCTCGATACTTCTGTCCATGCCAGTCCTCAAATGACATGGATGGGTCGAATTGCTGAAGGGCTTGAGGTCAAGGAGTGGTGCTTAAGCGCCTAAAGGCTTATCTGGAAGAAGTGTTTCTGCCTGACCCCTTGCATAATCCATGTACTTCAGGCTAACATTCACTTTGCAGAAGTGGCTTTCGTCAAAGAACTCTGGCCAGTAGGACTCCATCTATCCTAAATCCGAGAACCGACCCACTGAATCTAAATCCGAGACCCAGCCCCTTCACCCCGACCCCTGTGACTCTACTATACTCTACTTTGAGGTCCATGATTGCTCGAACGTCGGGTCGGGTCCTTATGCTAGGCGGCCTGTATTAAGCATTAATCAGAGAAGCCTAGCCTCCTGTAGTAGACTGAAGCTGGCTGAATCGAATACTACAGTTACAGTGTGGAGGGCACGGACTTCCGGTCCCGAAACCGGACTTCGCAGTTTGATGTAGGGCAATGTAGAGCTTCGGCAAAGGAACTCTGCGCTGTGTAGCTGTTGCCTTCGAAACTCCCGGGTTTATGCTCACTCTGCCCTGCCCCTCGGCTAACTAGGAGCCGAAAGCTCAAGACTCGGAACGTGGCCTTGTCTTCCCACCAATTCTGCTTGGCTTCTTCCTGCAAGAATACTCCAGACGGCATGAAGCAGCTTTGTATCCTTGCATGCGGGCGTTGCTCCTTCTTCGGCTGCTCTTGCTCCTCCGGCTTCCGCTCCCACATCTCCTTTGCCAGGCCTGGTCGGAAGGCCCGCAGCAGGAACCCTCAAACCGAGTCTTTCAAAGACGAACCTGCGCACCTTGCTCCCTTTGCTCTGACACCCCTCCCGCGGACTTGTGCTAGCCGGGGCCCCGACGCTTCCAAGAGCCATCCTGGCATGGGCAAGACAAGAAAGGATCTCACGTGCAAAGCTGCCGAACTTCCCTTCAACTTGTTCAAAGGAAAGATACCCCAAGCTCTCTTGCCCAGACTACGAACGATCATGTGATCCTGTTGAATTCAAGGCCACAGGAAAAGAAGCCTGCCACGGATCTGTCTCTTCCGCAGGCTCCGCAGGCACCAGGCTCTGGCAGAAGGGGAGACAGGAAGCTTTGAGGTCAAGCGGATGTGTTTAGAGTTCCAGGTGCTCTGCAATTTCAGAAGCTGCAAAAAGGAAGTCTTTGCACGGAATCACAGCAGAGTGTCTCCATGGCAGCATGCTATCGCCTCCATGGGGACGCGGCTAAGATCCAGCAGGAATACCCAAATGTCCTGCTCCGGAGACATGTCGTCCTGCGCAACAGGCTCTGCCATGCTCTGCCCAGTCTGCAGCACCCGAAGCAGTACAACCAAGCCCGTCATGAAGCCACATTACCGCCAAAGAAAACAAGGCGAAATGGCCTATTGAGTCTGCTACAAACTGCACTCTTTTCGTGTGCATGTATGTCTCTGCGCTTGCACTGAGTCACTTTGTTCGCTCTTTTCCAAGTTTTGCCGAAGCTGTCCACGCTCAGCCACAATGTCTCGTTGTTGGACAGCAAGAACTCGAGTTGCTTGCCATCCTGCGACGTACGATTTGCAACAAACACACACACACACACCACTAAGACTTACAGGCCCCATCAACCAAACTCATGCAGGATGCAGGCTTGTTGGTCAAATCTGAAACTCGAATGAAGGTCATGTGCATGCAGATCATGCAGTTTGTTGTGACTGTAACTTCGAAGACCTACGTTTGGCAACATTCCCCTCGGTGCTGACAAAAAACCGTCTTAAGCAGAGGACGCGCAAGGCGAGGCACGGGCAAACAGTCCTGGCCAACCGACTTCAGCCTTGTTGAACTTAGGAGCCCCTGCATTCGAGCCTTCTCTGACCTTGGCAAGCTGAACTGCGACATTAGGCATGCCTGTGTAATCGCAACAACTACAACCCTACCCGCATAGTACACTGGCTAGGTGTAGGTCATGATGAACGGAAGGCCTTTCGGTACGGAGTGGTTCAACACTGCAGCTGACATTTTCAGTCTCAGCGCCGTCACCGTCAGCACACAACTGTGTAAGCCCAGGGCCAGCGCACCAGAGCACCAGTCAGCAAATGGACGTCTTCCTTGCAGAAAGCCTGGCAAATTTACCTAAACCCTAACCCTAAACCCCTAAACCCTAAACCCTCTCGACCCGCGGGACGGACTGATCCAACTTCTGGCTGGGCAGGTCCATGCCCGTGCCCGTAGCTGCCCACGTCTTGATTCGTACTACTTTTAGGAATGTTGAATCGGTTCTCATTCTCTATACGGTAATCTTCACATCTACGAACATCTAGTGAGTTTCCAAGCCGCACCTCAAGGCCGGAATTGCCAGCATTCGACCAAGCAAACGCCTGGCATCTCGGATCATATCTTCGGCGATTCTGCGGGGACTTTCGTGTGCTTCCAAAAACACGGAAGGGAGCAACAAATACAAAGGCCCCTTTTTTGACCACTTCCACCGGGGCTCTGCATGCAACTGACATGCCAGCGGGCCAGCAAATCCCAAACCTCAAAGCCTCAGCCAAGGCAACAGCCGTAGCCGGCTGCCGCGCCTTCGCGGCCTCCAGATCCTCTAAGCCTGTCAGCTGTCGCAGGAAGATCCACAGATCCTGGCGAGGTGTCAAATGTCAGGGCACTTTTTGTAGGCATCGCATTTGCTATCGTTTGGGCCCAGCTCTGAATTCAAAGGAAGCTCATCCCCATCCCCCAGGGCTGGATTCTCCAACCAGCAGCTAGTTGGAGCGGATACACAAGAGAGGGACTGACAGACACACACACAGACACACACACACACACACACAGAGACAGAGAGAGGTTCTGCCTCCGGCAATGGTAAAGCCTGTGAGGGCTTTCCGAAGTACCTTTGTCTGGGTAGCAAACTTGAGCTGCAGGGGTGGCAGCAGCTTATCCCACGCAAGCCTAATTGCGCATCGAGCGACCCCGAAAGGACCTTGACCGGAGAACCAATATCTGTAAGACCGGTAAGCCGGCAAGCCCAAACCCCGAACATTATGTGCGTGTCAGAAATGACAAGTCCAGCCCAGCCTCCTCTTCTTTGGCGTCATGCAAGCCGAGGTGCAGTCGTTCTTAGCCAAGCACTGCAGGTTGAGGTTTGCTTGTTTTCTCGGCTTGCAGGGTTTTTGGGTCTAGCAGGTCCTTCTCCGTTCTAACTCCCCCACACACCGATCTTGCAAACACCCGTCCGACATGCTTGCCGCGATCCTCTGGAGTCTTGCGGCTTACGGCTTCACATTAGTCGTAAGAGAGAGCAGCCGATGACAGCATCCCAGCCACATTGATACTACTACTGGTAATAATAGTTATGATAACACTAATAGTAACTTTACTAATAATGATCACAAGATCTGGTAATAATAAACAATGAAAATGTCGAATCCTAGGAAATACCAAGGCTCGAGCCGCCGGTCTCGGGGAAGTACCACTCGTAAGACCTCTTCTCCGGAGGCGCCTGCAGAGCAGACTTCTAATTATTCATATTGTTACGCGTATTATGATTCGTCTCCTTGTTCGTCGTATTAGTATTGATGTTGCCATTATTGGTAGTAGTATTATCAATATTCTGCTTACTATTGTTGTTAGTATAATTTTCTGTTTGTCTGTTATTATGAATGTTGTAGTAGTAGTAGTAGTAGTAGTAGTACTGGTAGTGGGAGTAGACTTCACGGTCACAGGCTCTAAGGAACCACTGCTAATCCCGATGCCAGTACACTCACGCTGTCAATTCTGGTAGCTGGTGCCATGGAAGATGCATCCGGAGGGGGCTGGTATTGACACGGTGACAGAGTTTCGATAGACTGGTAAAATGGTGCCACTGTCACTTGGTCACTGCTACTAGAGGTTGTCACATGCTGCGAAGCGAAGTACCCCGTACATCACCAGCCAGTGCCTCCGGTCTGTATTTTTGCGTCCACTGCGAGCAGACAGGCGACCTGACAGCACCCAGGAACTTCCACATGACATGGCACGGTAATATAATAAATACTATGGTATACTGTAGTGGACCATGAAATTCTATCGCAGAATGTGTTGAAATGTGGGTTTCTCGTTTCTGTTGTAACAGTCACAAGTCCTTGGTGAAGGAGGATTTCGACCTCATGCTGCCGAGGGTCGTCACTTTGATGCCATGCTGCCTGGCCTCGCGTGACCGAAGATTCCGAAGTTCGGCCAAGAGCCGAAGATGAAGGGGTTCTATGGGTCCATCTTTTGGAGAACATTCGAGTTTGCACGTGCTAGAAAAAGAATGGTAGCAAGACAAATAATCGCATAGCCGGATAAGAACTCGTGCAAAACTCGATTTCGGAAGTGCCAACTGTGCTGTTGCTGAGTACGAGTCCTCGATGGGGAGTAGGCACAGCAGCAAGTTAATCAACGTATCTGCTACCATGCTTATGGTTTTGCTCAGCATCCTGGGTTGTTGCTATTGCGATTCTCAGTCGTCTGTGTGATGGTTAACGCTACACATCAACATGACAACGACGGAAGTGTTGTTGACGAGCACACCAGTGATTCGTCATTTACATCTTGCCGATATCTTCCGTTGCGGCTATTGCACACACTTCGACCATGCGACCATGGATGTTGTTGTAGCTACTACACCTATCATAGCGATTGCCTTCGTCATTACTGCTGCCTTCATCACCGTTACACTAGTGTTAGATGTAGCTGCGAGCATTCATGCAGAAACTGTTGCTAGCACACCCACCGTGACTTCGGCAATGGTATTGATAGTGCTTCTAGCTTCTTGAAACCAATATCAGCACTGCCGTTCCTGATCGTACGGAGGCTTGTTTAGCGCACTGCCGTGACTATGACCACTACTGTTATAACTGTTACCGGGTGACTGGCCTCTCTACTGTTTCATCACCTCTCTTCATCTGAAGTGGTCGTACAAGAAACAGCAACAGTACTCGTCGTCGACGAAAGAGTCGCAGGACATCGTAGCTGCAGCGTTGATTGCAGGCTGTGGCTGCCGCGTGCAACTCCACTTGGAAGCCCCCTGTGCCTTCTGAGAGAACCGCAGGTAGAAGGAATTGATCAGCAACGTCTCCTGCACCCGAGGTGGTGAAACGTTGTCAAAGGACTGACTTGGGTTAGCACGTCGGGATTGATTTGCGAAGCGCTTGAACTTTTAATCGGAGGATTAATTCATCATAGTTCTTGTGTTGCGAAGATTGAGGACAAAATTGAAATATGACAACAAAAACGAGGCCAATCACCAACCAACAAATCATCGTCGGCAGCATCGCCACAATACTACTATCAAGCTACTGGTTATTTTGAGGAGTGACGAAAACGTCTCTTGCCAGTTCGGAACTCCTGGGACCTATTCGTCAACAAACTCCCGAGCCTCTGCCGACAGGATCCTCGGACATTTCCCCTTGTAGCGCCTTGCAGAGAGTGAGCTTTATCCTACACGCACCGAAGAAGGCTCGCGAGGCTAGCACACATCGCGAATTCGTTCCACGAAGTCCATCTTGGTAAAGATGGTCCTGACAATGTGCTGAAATCGACAAGTAGCACTCGCACGATTGAGACAGTCGCACAGATCGGAAAAAGGAGCTCCTGAAAGCCACGGCATTGACTGTGGCCGGCACTGGATCCGGGTTGGAGTCCTGCTGTTGACGACTGAATCTATCACGGATCGCTTGAGCACTATGACCACAAACATCTACAAACTGGCAGCTATCTGGCATTCCCCGCGACGTAAGAACACTCGGCTTGGCAGGCAGTCCTCTTTTGTTTCCTGCCACTGCAACACTCTTAGACAGCAACAACAAAAGCAATCAAGGAGAATGGCAACGTTCCCCAGCTTTTCTGCATCGCGGGGAAGTCTTGGCATCGCCGTCGCTCGCCATCAACTTGGATAATGCAAGCCAAACGGGGTCCTTTCCACGCAGAAACGTTTGAGTGCACTACGCTGAAGCGTGCTGCTCTGCGTCCTCGTCATCCGAGTCCGAGCTTAGATCATCAAGCTGGTGGCTGTCGCCGTAGTCGAAGCACAATTCCTCACCCGCCTGAACAGCGTCGGGCAAGGGGGGGTTTAGAGGCCTTGGTCACAGCCCTTTGCCGCCTCGATGTCTCGGGCGGCCAGCAGTTGCACAGCATGTGGGCCCAAGCCCTGCGACGGGTCGATGCGGACCCGAAGATTCCTCAGCTCGGAAGTGTCGCTGTGCCTCTCACCTGGGCTTGGATCAAGAGCTACCAGGCGGCGCTTGCAGAGTGGCCCCGGACTCATCCAAGCAACCTGACGACAAAAAGCAAAAACGGCCAAGACACGCTGGCTGCGAGCCCTCTCTCTGGCCTGCAGGGCTGTTGAGAAAGGCGGCCACGTGTGCGGCATAGGGCCGGGGTCCACCGGTCCCCCCATCCATTGCCCACTCCTGAGATGGCCCACGCGGCAAACAGAAACCCCTCGAGGGACAGCTGCCGCCGAGCGTCGGCATCCATGGCAAAATGGAACCGCTGGGCTCGACTCCCTTTCAACAGGCATCGCCGGCGAAGCACCTGCCCGCGGTAACACCTGAGACAGCCGATAAAGCAGCTTGTCAAAAACAGCTGCAGAGGGAACAGCTTGGCGAGCCACAACACCAAGTCGCCCTTCCGACGCGGGTGAAGAGTGAAGACGGAGTGTCCCTGTGGAGGTACGCAAGCAAACAATCATCTCCCTCATCTTTACTATCTCTACTCAAGAAGATCACGGAAGCACCTTCACCGGCTTCCCATCTTCACGCCGAGCCAGTGGCGTACCCACCCTTACTCCTCTTCTCGTTGCCTGCCTCACACGATGCACAGGCTTTGGCCAGAAATTTCTAGCTACCCGCCCTTCCCTTTTAGCGCCTGTGAATCCTCGACGCTGCCCTCTCCCAGGTCTTGCCTGCCCGAAATCGCCAGATTTTCAACATCCCTCACACACCAAACAGCACCTGCTGCACCTGCATCTTCGTCCTCCTTCTGATTCTCCTCGTCGGTTGATGAACACCGGTGCACCTCCGCGGAAAGATGACTACCCAGGAAGTTGTTGATCCACACACATGTCCGCGCGCGCACATTCAGCTGCAAATGCAAGGGAAGAAAGTTGCTGCTGATCCTTGTAGCAAGCTCACTGACAAGCCCCGCCTCCTCGGCCCACGGCAGGAACTCTCCCTCCTCCGAAGCAAACGTGATGATAGCTGGTGCACCCTTGAAAGACTGCTCCTGAACCCCAAGCTTGAGCCCCAACAGAGAAACAGAGCATCGAGATGCTGCAGATCCTAAGCCCCAGTTCGGGACCTCCCTCGAGAAAACTGGGTTCTTTGTTAAGGGATTTTCTTTAGGATACCATAATAGGGATCTATGGTAAATAACATGGCTTCTTCATTATTATGGTAACTTAAATTAAGTCCCTTAACAAGAGCCCAGAAAATGTCCCTCCGGCGTCCTTTCCGTCAGCCAGCACCACCAGTGGCCGGCTCTTCGCCTCTCTGCTGGGCGGCCTCGAGGTCACTACGAGGGTGTGCCAGTGGCTACCTTTTTTTTGGGGGGGGCGCGACCTGTAGAGGGTCCTTAAAACAAAAGGGGGGCTTTGGGACGCACATACACACCAATCTCGAAGCGTGTTCTGGTGGCCACGAACATGCCGGCGTTGCAAAATGCAAGAAGTCTCTGAGGCCCAAAACGACACTCTAAGAGCCCCAGCAGGTGTCCGTGCACTCTCCGTCCACTACACCGTCGTCGCGAGTATGTTCGCATGTACTTCTCCGTTCATTTGCTGGTCTACTTCTTCCGCTGTGCAAAATGAGATCCGTGTGACAGTGTGGTTCTACCGAGTTCTACCGTCGGGTCCGACCCTGTAAAGTCAGGGACATCGCAAGCCAACTCAAACGTCGAACGGGTCCGAAATCACATAGGCAGACCAGGTCACGCGAAGTCGATTGCCACCCCACGGCTGTCTATCTGGACATCGACACTCCGCAGGCCATCTACCTCAGCTGGAGATTTGCGACGGTTGTAGTACAGTACCCCTTACGGTGAATAGAACCCTTATAGTAGCCTGAAAAGCAGTCTATAACCCTGAGCCTCCCCAGTGATCTGCACGTCCCCGTCGACCATTTCTCCGAGTACCCGCCGAGCCTGCAGACAAAGAAGCTGCCATGGTTTAGATATTTAGCGTTATTGGCGCCCATTGCTCCTTTCTCATCGCATGAATCATGCAAGCAGACACCACCTGGATGAGCAGATTCTGATTAGGGTACTTCCAGTCTGGCCACCCAAGGTATGATCCGGAATGTGCTGTGTTCTCGAGAGGACGACACATGAAATAAGGGGGAATCTTGTGTTCGTTTTGTCCAACCTGCATTTGTGGAGGCCCTCCCCATGCTCGCAAACTGTGTAAGGCTTCGTGTAGGGTTATTGCTGAATCGTGGTCTGTGCTCGGAAAGATTATAGTACTGGTTAATGGCAGTATACAAGGGAGAAGACGAAGGCAGCTAGGGAGTGTGTCTTGTGTGTATCTCGATTAAACAACCCTGCATCATAACTCAGAAAATGCAGAAGCAGGTCTGGTGAGCTTCGAAATGTCAGACAGGCGAAGCAATTCATGTGTGCATAGGTATATGAACATACATATATGATAACATTTCTAATTATACATGGACGACGCCTTTTTTGCGGCGTGACTACCAAACAGCAGTAGTGACACTAACAACTAGGCCCTTATAGGCTCTGTGCCGATGCTGACAAAGGACAGCTGAACATAACCAAAATTCCAAATTACCGCAGTAGTCTCAAGAGGCCTCCTCCTGAAGCTGGGCGAAGCGGCGGTCGCAGTCGTCAAAGAGCTGCCAGGTACTGGAGGCAAAGGGCCTTCTGAGAACCACCACCTCGGATCTCTCCGAAACTGTCTGGTCAAAATGCTTCAGTGCCATGGGGACCGCAGAGCCACAGCACGCCTTCGGCACTCAGGTGCCAGCCAGTGTGTTGCTGCACTTCCTGTACCTTGGGTTATGCTCGGTCTCTTGGGACCCACGCCAGAACTGAGAATGTATGTCCCAGGCACACGACGCGGTTCAGCGGAGCCTGACGAGCACAGAGCACTTGCAAGCGGAGTTTCGTCTTGATTGCCGCTTTTTGACTTCTGCAGCCTCCGGGAGCACTCGCTCTGGAAGGTCACAGCTCCACTTCCGGCCACCCAAGCGCAGACGCAGCTGGCGCGGCCGAACCTCCAACCTAGAAGAAGAATGCACAGAACTTCCGAACTCAAAGCCCAACCTGCAGAAAACTGTAGAATCCGGGTAGCCAATCTGGCTTTGCCGGCATCCAAGCACGGATCTCCAGCGAGCGATCCTGATGGGCAGTTCGTCTGGCTCGCAGGGCAAAAGGAGGCTGAGGGGTCCCATGTGGAGCAGCAACTCGAGTGCCTCTTCCTCTGATTCTCTGGCATGCAGCATTCAAAGCAAAAAGGCAGCTGGAAAAAAGGGATCTAAGGATCTGCCAGGATTGCCGTTGCATGCCCCGCCAGTTGCGAGACTCCATGCAGGCAAGGTTTAAGTGGTCTAGGCACTCACCGGGCTGCTTAGCAGCTCCCGTTGGCTCCTACCGGTCCTCCTTTGAAACTCCCGCACTTCCCTCCTCCAAGGTCTTGCTGGAGAGCTTGGTCGAAGCAGTGTGGAGCAGGAGTCTTGATAGTCATCGGCCCGAATCTCGCTGCACTGCCGAGCATGTGACCCAACCCTCAGAGACGCCATTGCGGATGCCGACCTCCACCTCTCAGCAAGGAGTCGCCACGCTCGATTCGCACTCTGTCCGGCTCTATCCTTCATGTCAAAACCCTTGAGTAAACTCTAACCCTGGACCCTACGGAAACCGTACATCCTGCGCAAGCTTTCTGCAAGCCCACCTGGTTGGGCGCGTCATCAAGCAGAACCCAGACTTGCCGTGCTCGCGCTCTCTGGCATGCTCGTCGTTGGGTGTTTATTGGCAGGCCTGGTCTCTCGCTGTCCAGGTCTTCCCGAGACATCAAAGGCCGGGGCCGAAAGTGTCGCTTTCGTGTTTTTGCACCTCCATGCAGGCGGATGCCCGCACAAAGCGCTGAGCTCAGGTTTGAGACACTTCAAAGGATCGGCGGAAAAGATTCAACTCGGGCCTCCTCCGCAAGCACGCTGCGGCCGGCATCCAGCCCTGCACCTTTGGATCCTCCCTTGGAGCCTCGGCGCTTGGTGCACCCCTTCGAAAAAGAACCCATGTGCCCAAGTCTAGTCCAGTCAAAGGAGCCTTTTTGCCTCGGTCCCTGGTAGAAGATGAAATCCTCCGATTGTCTCAAACACGGAAGGAAGCCGTTTTACCACACTGCCAAGAGCAAAGGAACCGTCCTCGGTCTCTGTGCGGAACTCTTGCCGGGTCACAAGCTTCGCTAAGAGCCCGCCGCCCAAGCGAAGCCATTCATGGCCCGTTCGGGAGACCATCTCCTTAGGAAGTGCCGAAGACATGGGTGAAGGATCCAACATATGATAAGCACCCAAAACACGTTTGACTCATAAGATACAAAAGCCGTGTTCTGGGCTTCCGGATTAAAAAAGTTCAGCTAACAGTAAAAAAAGCTGCAACCGTTGCGGAGGCTGTTTCCACAAGAGATTGCCAAAGGCTCGGTTTTGCTGTTCGGCGTTGGGGAGTTCAATTTTTGCTGCTTCGTCTTGTGCGCATCTCCGACCGGCCATTTCCCGCAACCCTTTGAGGGTGTGGGTTAAAGGCTTGCAATCTTAAGGCCTCCCGGTTTACGATTTGATGGCTCGGGGTTCAAGGTTTGATCGTCCAGGTGGTGCGATTGTTGGCGCCAGAATTCACGGTTTGCAGACGAACGCGGCTTTGGGCGTTAAGTCGCGTTTGTGGTGTTAGGCTGTGTTGTGATTGCTCGTTTCTTCCATGCTTGGTCGGTCGCTAGGCTTACAAGTTTATGGTGTTTCCTTTCTTCCTTCCTTTCGTCCTTCCTTCCTTCCGTCCTTCCTTCCTTCCGTCCTTCCTTCCGTTCTTTCTCCCTTAATTTCTTATTAGATCCCTTCATCCCTTTCTTTACCCTTCCTTCCTTCCTTTATTTATTCCTCCACCCTCCATGTCTTCTGCTGCCGAAATTCCGGATGCTTTCGCCGGACCTCCAACACCTGCCTGCGGGCACTCCATGCATTGCAATTTGTCCATGCTCGAAAAATCGAAAGTCTCTCGAGCCAGCCTGCAATGTGCCCGGCGCGCCGCGTCGAGATCCCGCACCAGGGGCTCCAGCTTGGGAAGCCCCAGCGGCCGAGCTACTCGCAGGGGCATCTCCCAAGGCCTCCGGCAAAACGTAGCGAAGATGTTTAAGGCAGGAGGACGATGATACAAAAGCTTAGAGGATCGGTCTTGCATCCGCAGGAGGACATCGCTCGGAAGCCTACTTGGAAAGCACCCCGAAAAGAGTCCCCGAAAGCCGCGTCCACAGCCTTATTGCAAGCGAGCTTTGCAGCTGTTAGGAAAGAGAAGATTGCATCCTATGGCGCAGCAACATGCACGTCTTTTGGCCTGGTTTAAGGATCGGCGGAATGATTCAGCGCGTCCTTGCAGACAGACTCAGATGTCCGCGCTGCTCTGTGGGTTGCATGCAACCGCAGAACAGTACGTCCGGCGAGAATCTGATCCACGATACGGGTGCTGCCGAACTCCATGAATGCAATCAAAATGTGGAGAGCCCGCCTGTCATATTTCTCACGACCGACTTCAGAAATTGTGTCTGTAGGCAGATCCAACCTGAAGTCTGGATGATTTGCGGACATGTGCATGTGGCGGAAGCCTTCTAAAAGGCTGGCTTGCTCACCTGATGTAGCCACGTAGATGCTCGGGAATGCCAAGCGGGCCTCATCCGCCATAGAGTGCTGTCGATACTTGGTTAGACGCCGGAGTAGCTGTGGGGTCATGTCATCGGACCGCCCCACTTTGATGTAGGAGTCATAAACGAGGATATGGACGAGTCCTAAGATGACGACTCCTGGCTCTCCGAGGTCTCGCGCAATGTCGGCGGCGACGGCCTTGAGTGCACTCGGAAGCACAAGAGGTCGCAAGCAGAGGAGTTCGGCAAAGTGCGGTCGTCACCAGTGCAGGAGGACCCTTATAGTTTGGCGCCTCCGACCCAGTGCTTGCCTAGGAGCAGGCACTGGATCGGAGGCGCCGAACCATAAGGGTCCTCCTGCGCTGGTGACGTCCTTGCCTCCGAGTACATTTCCCGAAAGGCCTGTCGAAGTACGCTGCTCGGGCACCGCTCCGGCGTGTACCCAGAGCCGACGGCGAGGCCTTCTTCTGCGGCGTCTGAAAGTCTGCTGGCACGGTTGTCGCTGGACGCGAAGAAGGCGAAGGCTCTAGCAACGCTTGTGCTCGGCTTCCGCCGCTCAGTTGCACAGGATTGCTCCACGAGGACCGGAGATTAAAGCTGCCGCTGCCCTGCATTCCTGCGCCATGGCATCTTGCTCAAAACTCTGGGAGGCCTCCCTAGTAGGAGACTAGAACAAGAAGGGTAGCGACTTTGGTGACTCCGGATCCATCTGTGTCTGAGTCGACTCGAATTGTGTAGCTTCCATGGCTCACCTACACAGCTTCCTCACAGGACTTGAAATGTCAAAATGCCTGCGAGCACTTCATGCAGTAGCGCTCTCCAATCAAGGCTGGGAATTGACCTGGCGAGCATCAAACGATGTGGCATGAAAGAGTCGGGACTGCGTTTAGTAAAATCCTCAAGCCCGACCGCTTCATACAAGCTAGAAAGGAGACTCCGGTTGTGTTAGCGGGATGGGCTTTGCGACGGCATTCTGTGCCTGTGAATGTACTCAGTGGGGCATCCGGCCAAAAAAGGTAGCCATCGCCGGACGTAGTGCCCCTCTGGATCGCAGCTTTTGGCAGCGTTCACCTCAAGGTTCATGCTTGGAAACCTTTGAGGAATTGAAAAACCTTATGGCTATTTCCGCCGTGTAATGTGTATAGTGCTCGGCGGTCAGCACCCTTGAAGAGATGCAGAGCCGCATTAACGCTTCTTTGTAGAGCGACACTGCGAGACATGCTGTAGAAGTCACACATCCGCAACAAACACGATCATGCACGGAAGTGCTTATGCTAATTCACCTCCGCCACTGCCTGAGCGGCCCGTGCTTCGAAGTCTTTACAGTTCCAATTCCCAGAGCAGCTCTCGCTGTCGTTTCCATGATCATATATCGCCACCATCAATCATGCTTACAAAGATGAGGAGAAAGCGATCATTCCCGATTCTCACCTCGCTGAGGTCTTGACTGGCAATGCTCGACAATGTTCCCCCTCACTCGGATCATTCGGAATTCTGTGCGTAGATAAGCAGAGCGATGCGGTGGTCTCTTCTGTCTTTTGATATGGTCTTGGTGAAACTGTGTGAAAATACTAGTAAGAACCACGCCTGATTGTATCAATCATGCGCACCTCAAAGAGTACATATACAACATGAAAAAAAGGTTTAGATGACGACGACGACGACGACGACGACGAGGACGTTGACGACGACGACGGCGACTGCTACTGATACTACATAGTACGACTATAGCGTCGGCGAGAAGTCGCGCCAGCTCATCGCAACATTCGGAAAACCACGTTGCTTACTCTGCTTGTTTATCATCCCGAGAGCGTTTCAAACGTAAAAGCAGAGCGGCTGGGTGAAGTACAAACTCCCAGTGGTCAGGGCCGGAGTGGCCACCATTTTGCCACATGAAACTGTTGATCGCCACGTCTATGTCCACAAGGGTCCAGTCAAACCATTCCTGGGGGTTTCACTTCCGGACTTACCAGAAAAGACACAGATGCACACCTCGCCTGCGTCCACGTTAGCATCCCTTCGAAAGGCTAGTGTACAGAGGACAGACTGGAACAGCTGTGGCCGAGCGCTGTAGCCCAGCGTCAAGGCCGTGCTTCCAAGTCAGGTCCAAGTACTCGATGAGCATCTGCGCCACCACCTGGGCAAAAGGCGAAGGACATCGAAGGACCAAGCGCTGCTCTGCACCCTTCAGCCAAGCGGCATGGCGCAGGTAGTTCGGCATCCATCCCACGGCCCAAAGCTGCCGCATGGCTGCATCGACAAGTGGGAACCCAGTGGAACCTGCAGGCGAAGAGCACACGGATGTGCTGGCGAGATCATGCGAGATCAGTGCCGACGGACACAGCGAGCAGGTGAGGCTCTTTTCTCAGGAGAGCGTGTTCTGCCCTCTCTGGCTATGGACGAAGCTGCTCACATGCTGGACAGTACAGTCTTGGCTTGCACCAGGTTCTCCTTCTCCTCGGCACGAGCTTGGGCGCGCAGATCGAAGTGCTCAAGGAGCCAGTCGCACTCCTTGTGCAAGTTGCTCACGACCTCCTCCACGACAGTGGCCTCCTTCTTCTTGTTGGAGAGCTCGCTTTTGTCGTCGCTAAGATCGGTCTCAAGGTCTGCCTTGGTCTTCGCCTTCTCCTGCGTCAACGTCACATCTGCGTCACGCTTTTCTGCTGCATCGGCCAAGGTCTTCTCGTAGTCCTTCTGAGAGTTGGCCTCATCGGACTTGGCCAAGGCCATTTCCTGCTCGATGTCCGCCTCTGCCAGTTTTCAACAGGGCAGAAAGAAACAACTTCGAGCAAAGGTCCTGGATTGAGGTCCTCTCAGCCTCTGGGAGAGGAAGAGAGGCCCCCCCCCCTTTCCCCCCCGGCCTTCAGCTGTGCAATCAGGGAGAAGATGCCATGGCTCTCGGACATCTTGGCCTGGTAGCCGCCCTCGAAGGTCGCCGGTGGAGCCTCCACCTTCCGGCTGGAGGACTGCAGGAAGGCATAGGGATCGAAGGGGTTCTTTGTGGTGGTGTCCACGAACTGGCTTGGGCTGTAGAACTGATTCAGCTTGTTCTTGGCCAGGTCCAGGAGCTGCACCGCCTGACCATTGGAAGCCAGGAGCTCCTGAGACTCCACAGAGTCTCCAGCACACATCTCAGCGGACATCACACAACCACTCTACAGTAGAGAGCAGGCAGGAGAGGGAGAGGGAGAGAGAGAGAAGGAAGGAAGGAAGGAATGAGATCGATCCCCTCCCAGCTCCCCATAATATAGCATCGCATGTGTCAGAATATATGGGCAAACTTCCACAAAATAATCTCGCATCATCGACCAGCAGTAAAAATCTGCTCCGCTTGTTTCTTCTCCCTTTCTCTTCTGCCGGGCCTGGAAGTCCTCGTGCTCGGCCTTGCGGTTCTCCCCGGCCTCCGCCACGGTCTTGTCCAACTCCACCAGGCCCGCCTAGAAACGCACCCAACGATCTCCCACACCGGGGCGACAGGAGCTAGTAGGATTGTAGGAGTATAGAGTAGCTCATAAGAATATTTGATATATCCCACCATCCCACGGGCTGGGTTCTCTGCCGTTCTGTTTTTTGTTTTAAGGGGGGGGGGGGGGGGGGGNNCCTTGGGGGGGAGTCCCTGAGCCTGGAGGCCCTTGATCTCCGTGGCAAGCTGCGCGATGGCGCCCTTGGACTGCTCCACGGTCGCCTTCAGAGATGTGATGGTCGAGGCCACGGACTTGGTCTTCAGCTCGGCCTCGTGGAACTCCTTGCCGCAGTAGTCCTTTTTGCTCGCGTCGTCCTTGCCCTCGGTCTTTAAGAGCTCGACCATCCCATCGATCTTCTTCACGATCTTGCTGAAGTCGATCTGCACAGGTCTCAACGTTCAGCTTTCGCAGCGTTCGGATGGTACCGTAAGGAAAGTGCTCTCACCTTGAAATCATCTGAAATCCCAAGCCCTCAAACCCCGCCTTGCGGCCGGAGAGTGCCAAAGCCAAAAAGTTCAGCTCCGGATGGGCCTCGCTGCGTGCCTCGAGCGTGTGGGGCAAAAGAGGATGCCTAAAGGATCCTCAAAAAAGCTACAGCTACGATGTGACCTTCCCGCCTTGAGCACCAGCTCCAGCGCCTTGTCCTTCTTGTCTTGATCACCCTTTGAGAGCTGAAGGAGGCTCGAGGCCTTGCCGCGGAAGAGGTCCAAGGACTCGTCGGAGTCCAGGATCTTCACGGTCTCTTGCAGAGCCGAGAGCTCCTTCTGACGAGTTGCTTGACGCTCCTCCCAGGCAGCTGCCTTGGCCTCGCAAGCGCTCTGAAGCTCTTTGAGCATCTTCTTGTCGTCTGCCAGGGACTGGCCCGCACCCTCCATGGACTTCTTCATGTTCACCACCTCCACCTTCAGCTCGCCAATGCGCTTCATCTTCCGCTCGAACTGCTCCAGCAGCGTGGAGATCTCCACCTTCTTGGAGTCCTCGAGCTCGTCGTAGGTGTGGATGGCGGTGTCCTCGTTCTTGTCATCAGTTGCGATCTCTTCCTTGGTGTCGTCGGCCATGCCACTCAAGATGCCCAGCACATAGCTCGGGTCCATCCTCTCCCCCGACAAGAAGGATACGAGGCGCTGCTTCTCCGAGGCTGCCAGGCGTCGCTCCGCAGCACGGAGCATCGGGGCCTTCTGCAGCAGGGCCGCAGAAGATCCCGTCTTCAGGGCCTGCTGGGCCTGGGAGATCTGTTCGACCACCTGGGTGTCCTGACAACACACATTTGAAGAACTTTTCACGCATTGGGCTGCTCCGTGGCCTCCTGCCCTGCCGGCCCCTGGGAAAGAAGAGGTAAAAAAAGACCGTGCTTTGTCAGACGTCCTCGGTGTGCTCCTCCACGTAGTGCTCGTGCCTGAGCAGACGTGGTGTGAGAGACAGAGGAAGCGGAAGAGGGGGCGTAACATCTGCCAGGCCACTCCTTCCCTCGCTGGACCTCTGCCGCCTTCAGCGTGTCCTCCTCGGAGATACGCTCCTCCTTGAGCTTGGTGACCTGGAAGTCAAAACTCGGGCTAGCCAAAGCCTCCCTGAGGCCCCACGAGCCCGCCGGTCTCGGCACATTGCTGTTTGGCCACCGTTTCTACACGCAGCTCACATCCCAAGCTTAGCATACCAGCACAAGCCACCTGCACTGACTAAATTCAACTGCCTTCGACAAGCCCTTGCAGAACGTCTCTGCCTGCTTTTCCTAGCTGGCTGGCTGCCAGACCATGGACCCCGAGGTGGTTCGCCCGATCTCCAACCCCACGGACTCACATGTGCCACCATGAGTACCATGAGTATTATTGCCATTATTAACATTGTTGTTATTATGATTGGTGGTAGTAGTAGTAGTAGCAGCAGCAGAAGAAGTAGTAGTAGTAGTAGCAGCAGCAGCAGCAGTGGTAGTAGCAGCAGCAGCAGCAGCAGCAGTAGCAATAGTAGTAGTAGTGGTAGTAGTAGTAGTAGTAGTAGTAGTGGTAGTAGTGGGAGTAGTGGTGGTAGTAGTGGTAGTAGCAG